TCGCCAAGTTCTGTCAAGTGGACACTGTAATGGATATTAATTATTAGCCAGCAGCCACTCAAAGCCCAGCCTACGATGATGGCTCCTGTTGCAGCCGAGCTATTTATAGGCCAGGTTACACACTGCCTGTGCATTGCTGCTGCACTGCTCTGCCCTGCCAGCGTTCAAGACTTCCAGGGATTAGCCCACAGTTCTGACCTCCCGTGTAAACGCCGGCAGATCTATCCGCAGTATGCAAAGAGAAGTCCACTCATGCACAGTCAGCCGCTTTAAGATATTTGGATACGTGCTTTTTATCACTTTCCGATGCATTACGTACCAGTCTGCAAACCTGGTCGTGGCAGACAGTCATTTATGTCAGTCACGCATGTAAGATGAAGCAAACAGCCCCCACACATACATTAAACCTGATGAAGAGTGTCACTCTGAATAAACTGCTATCACGAGCTGCTGATGATGTGTGCTCTGTGCAATGCAGATACACCCGGCTGAAGCTGCAGCTAAACCCTGAGGGAAGAATCCCCGTCAAGAAGTAAGTCTGTGTGACTCATCCGCCCCCCCACCACACCCCTCCCCCATCCCCGCAACGGTTCTGCTCTTTTCATCGGTGCATAGTTTGCTCTGCCTTTTTGCCTTCTCTCTAAGCGTGCAGATGCTTAAACCTACACTTTGTTTTTTTCACATATTTATTAGAATATATTACTCATTCCATCTGTCACGACAATATTCATTCTATTGTCCTTATCACCACTTTTCATTTATCTCACGCTTATAGATTCGTGCCCATTTCACCCATGTGAATTTTTTATTATTATTATTATTTTTTTAACTTTAGTCTGTGTCAGTTTGTGATTTATCTCAGAATTTCATTTTGTATATTTCAGTTTCAGTTTGATTTATCTGGAAGTTTGTCATCGCCTCATTGAAAATCCACCTCTCTCCATCTCCATTAGTCAAGTTGAGCTTTCAGGCAGGCGGGCAGCAGTGAACCTCCGCGATAACCTCCCTCAGAGCCGCGGAGGAAAGCAGTGGGTGTCAACGGAGAGAGACACTCCTTGCTGTTTAGGGAATTAACCTCCTAGCTAGGAAGACATGTCAGTTTGACTAATGTCAGCTTGATACTGCTCTTCCACTGAGCGTACAGTAAGTGCTGGTGGACCTGCGCAGGCATACCTCCGCAAGCAATTAAAACAGGCTATTCCGAACAGAACCAGACCTAAATGTCCTGCTGTGGCTGCAGTGACACTAGAGCCCACTGTAAATCACTTTTATTGTCTGTATACACCGGAATAAAACAGATGACAGAAGCCTGAAAACACAGATGCCTGTCGGCAGTGTTTTTCCAGAGTTAAATGAACCGAGACGCTGACGATGTGACGATGCGATGTGATTTGAGATCATTTTGCGTTATTTACATGCGCACATCATAAAGAAACATTACATCTGCACGCCTTTTGTTTATTTATGCAAGAAAAAAAGATGCTTCTGTTGAGACAGACTTTATAGCATTACAAGCACAAGCACAATGACATGATAATAAAAAATTCTGACAGCGATGATGAAAATTGGTGTGATTTGCAAAATGACACCATTGCCGGGAAGCTTTCTTTCCTCATCTTTGTTGGGGCCTGTGTGGCATCGCATTCATGAAGACTTGTCGCTTTTATGTACACAAGTGGCATTTGCCATGGAAAACTTTGCAATTCACTGTAAGCAGTATTAAAATCAAGCTATTTTCCATGTTTAAATGTGAATATTAAACATATTAAAACTACACTATTTTATCTCAGTCCACCCATCTATCTATGAGAGCAAACATATTAGAAACACCTCTCATTAAAGGAGATTTATGCTGCTGCATCGCTGCACAGCTTCCTAATGCTCCAAATAAGCTGAATCAGTAGCTCTCCGATTATTTCAGCATAAACAGAAATTTACTGCGTAACCTTTATGAATGTAAAATTCATTGCAAAGGCTGTTAGACTGCAGTATTTAAATCCTGATGTCCCATCTTCTACCCCTCCCTTATTATATTGCGTTTCTTTTCCCACACAGGCATCATCTGAGTCTAATATTTGTCTTTAGTGTTGCATCCTGTCCGGCCTGTAGTTTCGCCCTTTTTATTTTTTTTCCATTCCCTCCTAAGCTGTTGCTACAATATTACATTTTCACAGAATAATCTTAATATGTGTCAGTTAAATGCTGTGACGAATTCATCTGTTTGACACACAGCCTTTAAAGGAGTGAGAATGTCTCTCCGTGTGTGGCATTTTCTGTGATTACTCATAACAGCATGTTTTTTGTCTCCCTACAGTATCTTCAGGATGTTCTCGGCAGACAGGAAACGAGTGGAGACAGCGTTGGAAAGCTGTAACCTCCCTTCTGGCAGAGTGAGACTCCAAAATACTGAAGCTCTCTGTTTTTTTTCTAGTATTACTGTCGCCTCATATTTCCTCCGTCCCTGAACCGGCTTCTGTCTCCATCTCATCCTGTCTCTTTTATGTACAGTTGCCTTCATC